TAGGAAGGAAGAAGAAAGAAGACAAGGAATGGATCTCGACGGATACCTGGAAGCTGATAGAGGAGAGGAGGATGGTGAAGCAGAAGATAAACCAGTGCAAGGATGCTCAACGACAAGAGGAACTGAGCACAATGTATAAAACACTGGACAAAGAAGTGAAGAAGAGTGCACGCAACGACAAAAGACACTTCTACGAAACACTGGCAAGTGAAGCAGAACAGGCTGCAGGTAAGAGAGACCTGACGACATTGTATCAAATAACCAGGTTGCTGTCAGGGAAGAGATCAACACAGATGAAACCAATAAAAGATGAAGAAGGAAATTTAATTACAAAAGAAGAGAAACAGAGGAAACGATGGGCCGACCACTTCAAGAAGCTCTTGAATCGACCACCACCTGCACTTCGTCCAGAAATACCACCTGCAGCCGCTGAACTACAAGTGAACATAAATCCCCCAACGAAAATGGAAGTCCTGAACGCCATAAAGCTACTGAAATGTGGGAAAGCAGCAGGACCAGATGGAATACCGCCAGAAGCACTGAAAACAGATGCAGAGACAACAGCGGCCATGCTCACACCACTATTGCAGAAGGTGTGGAAGGAAGAGAAGGTACCTGCCTATTGATTGGAAGAAGGGTTACCTTGTCAAACTGCCGAAGAAGGGAGACCTCAGTGTTTGCAAGAACTGGCGCGGAATCACTCTCCTGTCCACCCCAAGTAAAATATTAAGCCGCATCATCCTGGAGAGGCTAAGGGATGCACTGGATTCAAAACTACGACCGGAACAGGCAGGCTTCAGGAAGTACAAATCATGTGCAGACCAAATTGCAACGCTTCGCATCATCATAGAACAGAGCATAGAATGGCAATCACCTCTCCACCTCAACTTCATCGACTTTGAGAAGGCCTTTGACAGCGTCGACCGAGAAGTAATTTGGAAACTGCTTCAATACTACGGAGTACCGCAAACCTTTATCCGCCTCATTCAACAACTATATGAAGATGCCACATGCCAAGTAATCCACAATGGGAAGCTCAGTGATGCCTTTGAAGTGAAGACAGGAGTGAAACAAGGTTGCCTACTATCCCCCATGATATTCTTGATTGTGGTGGACTGGATCATGCAGCAAACAGTAGGCAGCGAGAAGAGGGGGATACACTGGACGACGGAAAAGAACCTAGAAGACTTGGATTTCGCCGATGACTTATGCCTAATGTCACATAAACTTGAAGATCTGCAGGCAAAAACTAACAAGTTGACAGAGGAGGCAGCTAAGACGGGACTTCAGGTGAATATAGAGAAGACAGAAGTGATGAAGATACCGCACCACCACCATCAACAACAACAAACTCCAATCACTGTCAACGGGAGAAACCTTGAGGAAGTAACCTCCTTCACCTATCTAGGAAGCACTGTTTCAACTACAGCAGGGACGGACGAGGACGTCAAAGTCAGAATCGGAAAAGCAAGACAGGCGTTCATTAGCCTGAAACCAGTGTGGAGATCTTCTGCACTCAGCATGCTGGAACAAGATACGGATTTTCAACACCATCGTCAAGTCAGTGCTTCTGTATGGTTCAGAGACTTGGCGCGTTACGAAAGGGATTTCCAACAAACTACAGACATTCATCAACAACTGCTTACGCTGGCTCGTTACTGAAGATCAGATTGCTAGAAAGAATGGGCAACAGGGAACTCTGGCTGTCAACGAGCCAACCAAGAAGCTATCGCTGAACAAATATGCACTGGAAGGAAGTGGAGATGGATTGGGCATACACTGAGAAGGCCGACTGGGGACATCACGCGTCAGGCCCTCAAGTGGAATCCCCATGGGAAGCGACGAGTTGGGAGTCTGAGTGTGACATAGAGGAGATCGTGCTAGGAGGAAATGAGAGCTTGTAGGTTGTCGTGGTGGCAGGTTGAAAAGATTTCAGAGAACAGAGTGAAATGGAGACGTGCTACTGAAGCCCTATGTTCCATTAGGAACCCAAGGGACAAATCATAATAATGTATTGGAAGTCGCTAAGTGGAGAATAGACAAGGCCTTCAAAAGAACTTGTTATGCAGCTAAGCTAGTACTTCTGAGAGCAACCAGGCGGGTGTTTCAGCAATCAGGAACAGCGATGACTTCATTCTTCAACATATCTAACTGTATATACCACTTTGAATGTACTTATGGAAGCAAATCGATAGGTCGTACGGAAAGGTGTCTGTCTACTCACATGGTTGAGCATTTACCTAAATGGCTGAGGCAAGCTGAGTCAAAAATCCCACGGAGTTCCATTACGAAACACCTAATGGATTATCGATATGATTTTGACACCACTAAAGCCTTCTCGGTTGTCAGCAGACAGCGGAATAAGAAAATGCAATTGTGGGAGCATGTGCGATTAGAGTTCGTAAACCGAGCATATATGTACAGAAAGAGATGGTGGTCACCCTGAATCTGCTATCGTAGAGGTGTTGAAGTATTTTGAAATTTTTCATTCTTATTTATGTCTTGTTTTTTTCACTTTATTCCTTCCTATACTTCGCATATTTACCTCTTCACTATCATTCTGCTGTGCTATCATGTCCTCTTGAACTTCTTCGCTTATCAGTCAAATGACTTATCTCCATCGTTATTATCATTGTTATCGTTCAACTGTTACTCTAGCCTCCTTCAGTTTCATACTTACCAAACTTCTTAATTGATCTTCACTTATCTTGTTTCAAAGTGACGTAATTTTCAATCTTTTCAGTATTCATATTCTCATTGTTATCATTATCATTACTATCACTACTACAATCGATATTTTTGTTTACCTAACACCTATGTTCTTCTAGTGTACACCTTTATCAAGCTATCTAGTTGACTACTAATTGATGTAAAATGGTTGAAAGAAACGAAGAATGCAATGGGAAATCTAAGTTTCAAGATCTGAAGAATTTGATGTAGGGGAAGACAATATTATGCTCGTTAGCAGGTGGAGGAAAAGATTTCGGGGAGAGACGAGTAGAGTCAATTATTCAGTAGGAATCTCATTGAGTATGATATAGGCAATAGAAAGAGTCACTGTATTTTACAGGCAGTTAACAGGTATATTACATAAGAAACTGAATAACAACTCATTTTCTCATAGTTTCATGGGTATGGGGAATATCCATGCCCATGGCTTTCAAAAACCTTCAAAGGAAGATTTCGTCATCTTCACTGTCAATATACTAACTTTTCAAGTGAACTGCTTCCACAAGAAATTGTTCTGATAAATCAGTTTACTGGCTTGTAACTGACTGGGTTTGACATCACAATTTTCAGTTAAGGAGTCACAGGTTCAAACTTTGCTCCACCTATGTGGGCAACTATATCACAGTTATGGGTCATAGCCTGGTACACAAACTTGCGTCTAACTTGCCTGAATTCATTGTTGAAGATCACCTGATGAGTAATCGAATCATCTTTAAATTGCCGAATTATGTTTCGAATTGTCTATATAATAGTAGCAATAATAATAATTCAGTCACTGGGTTAGAGTTCATCTCAATCTCCAGTCTCTGTCAATTTGTGACATGGTGCGAATATCCGCCAAGGTCTTCATTTGATATGCGCTTCACTTCCGACTGGTTGATGCCACAGGTCATGGTTTCTCATTAGAACTTAGGGATATCTATCTATCCGTGATGAATACCACCTTGAATTAAAAAACCCGTAGACCTCAGACTGCATTACTGTGTAGTGCTTATTAGTGATATGCTTCTATATGGATAACCCAAAGTTCTACTGAGAAGCCATGATCTGTAGGAATAACCAGTCAGAGGTAAAATGGATACCAACTGAAGATCTTGGTGAGTAGTCTAGTTATATCATGAATTGACAGATTAAAGAAACTATCGACCACTGAACTCAAACCCAGAGGCTTAATGGTTAGCGCGTCGGCAACGAGACCTGAAGGTCCTGTGACCGATCCCTGGTAGGGTCGCGGGTGCGGCTGCTGAGGAGTTACATACTAGGATGAAGTCGGTACGCAGTGCTCTTAGGTTTCCAATGGTTCTCCGACTGATATCAGTCCACGATAAATACTACCTTGAAATAAAATCCCCACAAACCTCGAACTACAGTAATAGTAATAATAATATTGAAAATGTCTTAAAAAAGTCCCATGGGAACGGTAGTCACAATTAACTACTACTAGAATTCTATTCCAAATTGATTATATAAACGATTCTTATGTCAGGAAACAACCAGTAGACCAAGAGAAAGTTATAAAATTAATTCACATTATAGGGATGAGGGGATATCTACAATAGGGAATTTTAAAATTAGGTTATATGGGGTAGGGGGTTTAAAAATTTGTTAATCCCTAAGTATTTACAGCTGAGACACAGTCTGAAGAATTTGGAGTCTGGTACCCGTTTGCAAGTTGATGGGAAATCAGTAAATAATGGAAAATGACGTATGCAGTTTCACTGTATAGTTCGTTTTGAACTGAATTTCTTATTATAAAGCTGTTAATTGTCTTCATCACACACTGAGAGGTGTTCATGAGCACATAAGATTAAATCCCCAGACTATATTATATTATATTATTATATTATTAACGAACTATTGTAGGGAATCTGATTGTTGTTAACTCAGAATTAGACAGTATAGGCATATGACTGTAGAACATGAAGTCGAAGTTATTTAAAGATAATACGTTGTTCATTTAAATGTCAGTTATTATATCCCTTTTTATGGGAATAAACTGTCATTTAGGTATTGTCCTCCAATTAGACATTTCTAACTTGGAGTTATCACCATTGAATAACATTGAAAGATATACACTTTCAATTCTCAACCGAATGAACTACACATACTGAATGTGATGAATGACTGAACAGTCATAAGGTAAAGAAAGAAACATAGCTGTCTAGTATTGATTAGTGTTTATTAGTTCTATGCATCTGATGTCAATCTGAAATGAACAGTCTTCAAATTCATGCGATGATTACCTACTTAAATTATTTTTTGTATTACAGTATAAGAACTGATATGATTAAACTTCAGGAACAAGTGATTAGTTTACGGGATCTTGCAAAAAATCATGAACGTACAATTGCACAAAAGAATAAGGTTATTAGTGATTTAACTGATGAAATAAAAAGAATGAAACATACTATGCAACTCAATTTAAAGGTAGAGAATACTAAAAGAAAAGTAGGTTCTTCTATTTCATTGTATACACTGAATTCTTGCGTAATTTCATTTTATTTTTGTCAAATTTTTCAGCATTTTTAAGAGATCCTCTTCTGCCTTTAGCAGTCAGTAGACTTAAAACTGTGTTTCGTCTTTGATACGGGTAATGAGTTCATTTGCATGGTTTTTTGAGGTATAAATATGTTTAGGTTGCACTAATTGTCTCTTGCATCTAGTCACCGCCCCATACTGATAGAAGTCTACTGCTTGAAGCCTAACCAGGCTGTAATAGACTCAGGGTAGCAGAAATACTGAAATAAGAAGTCATTGACCATTAATTCAAATCAAAAGTTAGATCTTACTGAGATTCTTCATATGTTAGAGATACAGCCCAAAAGAGAACATAACAGCACTGGTTCATTCATTTGTTTTCCTAATCGACCAGAGATTGTTGGGCATATTATCACTTTAAATTTGTTTATTATCCATCCATTCACACATTCTTACGATAGGATATTTCTACTTATGTTGACTTTTGCATTCTGTATAGCTATGAATTGCTGCAACTAAGACAAATAAACTCTGTTATACGTTTTACTTCGTTGCGTTCATCTGTCTAAATGATAAATTCCAGTTTCTTGGATCTTTTTAAGTATCAATCTGCTGGATCTACTCAGTTGGAAGCCCTGCTTTACATAGGTTTCAAACCTAATGGCATTCATCAACAATGCGCACCTGCAATCTCAAAGGAACTGATGTCCCCTAATAGTTCTGAACCCGCATCACTCAATCCTAAAGTCAAAGACGTTACCGCCCACCCGTTCGGAAGATGTCTGACCTCCTGTGGGACTGGACTAGATACAGTAATTAGCCACTGGAGAATGACCAATTACGTGTTGTTTAGTCCTAAATTCTGACTGGATTGTATCCATCCCTTTGACTGTTACATTATGATTTAGATGAGTGACAATCTTTCAGTAAATAGCTAGTTAAACAAGGACTATAGTTTTAGTTGTATTTTTGTATGTTTAAATTCATATAAAGTCTTCTTAGCTTCTACTAATACTTAAAATAGATTTGAATTTAATTATTTTCATGAAAACATTTGATTTTTCATTTTTTGTTTCTCTTTGCTGTGAAAGGTAGATATTGAGATACTAGCAACGTGATTTCTTGAACTACTTGCGTATCGGTTCTAGCTCACTAAGTTTTGCCTCAGTGAATGGAGGAGAAAAATCAACAAGATGATTATTATCGAAATAAAAATTAAAAAAACCATTCAAAGTTAAAGATGACTGAAGAGCACTATTAATCACGAAACGATTAAATACTTACTATACACTAGATTTTGATGTTTATTAAAAGTCACCATATTCATTTTCTAAACCTTATATTACCAGTTTCATTAAATGCAATTCGATGGATTTCTCAGCATTATCAATCTGCTTTTCAGTAACCAAACTTATTTTAGCAATTACATCACCATTAATGAAATATACTACTGAACAACCTGAGTAGTTAGAAATATACTCAGACTGATCTGCAGATTTCATCAACTAGATGAAAGTGATCCAAGCACCCGACGGCTATCTCACTCGTTTGGTGTCACATTCATCAACGGTGTACTCAGACAAATCCAGCTTATAAAGCGGAATTGTTCAAACCACCTGAAACTAGCCAGTTGACTTGTATGAACAGGTATACCTTAACTAGAATGGTCAATTTGCAAATGACTTACAAACTTCATGGCCCAGTTTGACATCTCTCTTCGTAACTAATATATCATCCAGTAACCAGGGTTATTCACTGGGTACAATTATTTTTTGGGAGATTTTGACTATTAGTGGTTTCTGTAAAAAAAAATATAATGATTTATGCCTAATAATAAATATTTAAAAAAAATCCTTGAGGTTCTACACATTTTCACATATCTCTGATCAAACTCAAGAATAAATTCGTGAAAGAAGCAATGAATATTTCAACAGTGAAGTAAAATTAACCCATAATAAACGATAAATATTCGTAATAGGTTATAAGTAGTATGTCGAAATTAGGAGATGACGAATTTTTAGATACTACAAAATGAAAACACACATAGCGTCTTTCGGAGCATAACGTTGATAAAATGGACCAGAATGAAAGACAATCATTTAAAAAAATCCACCCTAGTTGGTCACTAGAAGGGAGAGTTAAACAACTTCATACCACCTAGTCCTAAGTGGTGACCGAGTTCAATCGATCATTTTGCCAAGTGGCCACCAAGATAGAAGACTCGCCATCATGATGTAATTTGATTGTTTGAAGGCAACTGTCAGACCATCCTACTCAACCCAGGTGTCGGGCTTGTTGGCTTTCATCTGCAAGGTGGATATACAGCCTTGAGAGTGCTGATATCCCCTTAGACATATGTATCTGCATCGCGCGATGCTGGAGTTAGAAATCTATCTGCTTACATGACACTCTACACTGTGAGTTAGAGTTGATTTCGAATTCATTAATTGCATGGGATATCCTCACAATTTTATTTAAAAAGACATATGAATAGACCGATGAAAAGACCTGAAGTAGTAACCATTTGAAAGAAACCACTGTTCATACAGCTACAATTTAGTGATGATGTACTTAGTGAGATTCTATTCCACAGACTGTCGAGAATCATTACAAGGAAATTGTTGGGCAGCTAATCTCTGCCTATCGTTTTCTAGTCAATTTGTTTCGTATCAAACGAAGGACAAGTTACTTAGTTTCGTCACCTCAATGTGTATTTGCCAGTTTAATTGCTCCTGTGGAGACAGTTATATCAGGTGTACAGCCAGGCAACCTGCTCAACATATTACCGAACACCTACCTTCATGGTTGGGTAAAGGATACGTTAAATCTATATGAAGCTCTGTTTTGTCGCATCTAATTCATACCGATCACAGAGTGGATAAGATGAAAGCGTTTCGAGCGACGGAGTTCAACTCCGCCTTTTACATATAGCTGAAGCTGTAGGAATTCGAATGAACAATCTAAGGCTCTGTATTCAGAAGAAATTTGTAGAGCCTTCATTCCCGCTTTGGCCAGGGAGAACCTAATTAATGACCTTACTTATGAATTTAAAAATGTATTTCTTCCCCCTTTTTATTTTTATTTCATTTTGTCACCCTTTTCACCCCGCTACTATATTCATATTCAAAATTTATTTATTCACTCTCCCCTTCATCCTCCACTATCATCACACAACCTTATCGTCTTTCTTCACTCTGGTCTATTTTGTCTGTCTATCCGTCTAGTCGGGCATTTCGACCCTGTATAGCAACGGAAAATTGCAAATATCATTACAACAACTGACACCCGTTGCACAAGAGGTGGCTATTGTGCCCTAGTGGATAACGCTCTTGCACTTGGAGCAAAGAGTACTGAGTTCGAGACTCAGCAGGAGCAATATCACTCAGTGGGGTGCAGGTAGATCCAACTTACGAGTCCCAAATAAAACGAAATGCGCTTCCTGGATTCCTCTGCTAGTCACCGAGATCAATATAAAATCATGAATGATAAATAGTATCGAGGCCTCTGCATAGGAGCCCATCTGCCAAAAGAGGTCGAGCAATTCGGCCCTGTATAGCAACGAGAAATTACTAGTATCATTACAATGTCTGAACACCTGTTTACATTGTCGTGTCATTCTGAACATTCGTATTAACCTTTTTACAATCCGTATTCCTTGGTGTCGTTATCTTACAAATTACCTTGACTGGTTGATATTTTACAAATATGTTGAGACAATCAGTCCCTTTTATGAATTTGGATAATGTAATTACAAGATAAAGATTATCTGAAAAATGTGATGTATTTGCGCCATACATTTCGAACAATCTAATCACATATTCACTTTTTAAGTCATTATATATATGAAAACTGGAAGTGAGGGAAGGACAAATATGACATAAAAGAATTCAATACAATTCATCAAAGAAACTAATTGTTTCAAATTCTTGAAAAGAAGGCTCCCGCCACACACCATTAAAAGGTTAAATGAACTTGTTAGCCTCAGGTGTAAAACGGCATCTGAAAAGGTGAAGTTGGAGTTTTACAAATCTTGTATTTCAAGCCACACTTTTCCAAGACGTTTTTATAAAACCTTGTGTTTAACAAAATATGTTGAGATCTAATTGAAAACAATACTGTTCGCTTATATGTCTTTTTATAATATTCATAATGAGAATTTTTAACAGTTAGAAATGTTACAATTGAACCAGACTGCAACAGTAGGTAGTGCATGTTCAAATCTTTCATGGGATATCAATTCCCCTTGGATTACAAACAAGCTTTGTCAGCAAGTATTTTTTTTAGCACTTAACAAGCTGTGATTGCTATCACTTCTATAATGATGGATGATATCGACTAGCTTTTCAACGAAAAGGTTTCTGACCAAGAAATTTCAAATAATCTGTCTTGATAAATAAATTCTGTACAACTTCTGTAATGTTTCACCCCCTCCTTATATTCTAAGGATTTTTGTACTGCACTTGCTGATCGTTACTACAAACAGCATATTTTAAAACAAGCAATAGTAGAATGGAAACAGTTTATGGAGTGTACATGGAAACAGAGGAATTTTCGACGATTGACGCTAGAAGCCCAATCTGAATGTATCAAAATTACGAAAGAGTTTAATCAAAAAATCCTTCAGGTAAACAATTATAATTTGCATATTTCTTCTCATCTTCATCAGTCATATATTAATTTTATTTCGATAATGAAAAAAAAAGTTGGTCTTTATAGGTAATATTAAATGTTTTGACAACCTAATAGCACTGGTTTTCAGGAACTTGTCTCGACTGGTCGTCTATAAGCGTTGCCAGTTGAAGAAGGCATATATTTTCTTGGTAATTGTTACATTTAAGGTAGTTTTTCTTCTGTCACGTTTCCCTACGTCCTTGTTATCTGCGTAATTTGTGCTAATTAGTGGCCTTAATATTATAGACTTTCCGTTTGTGTTTTAAACAAAACTCTTTTTGTGGGCTAATCTATCATTCCTTGCTTGAAATTTCATTAACATTGAATATCGAAACGTTAAATTAACCCCTCTACTATCTCTCCACTTGTCGTTTTCTGAGTATTACATAACAGAATGATTCTTCATATGTATTTACATTATATTATCATATACATATGGCCTGTACATACTTTTGTTACTAATCAGTGTAACCAGAGCATGATTTCAGTGACAGAAATTAATAAATGCACCATGATAAAGAATTCAATCAAGAGTAAACTGAATTGATGATAACAATCTTTAGATTGTGTTTACCTTAGGGATTTCCATAGAATCAGTTAGTGTGGAAGTAGTCTTCACTAAGAAGTGGCATCATATGGCAAACCACTGAAAATTACTAGCATTTGTCAAATTTGAACTTGTAGTTAAAAGTCATGACTACTTATTGATTCACCAAAACAATGAGTTGGAACAAACACCGTCGTTTGACACGAAATATTTGAATCACTAGATTCCAGCTATGTCTCACGACGTAAAGCTTCTGTTTTCAGCTCTCTGAATTTCATTTGTTGTTGTTGTTGTTGTTGTTGCTTAAAACCAGCTTCATACACCTCAACAGACAAGCTATGCAACCAGATACACAAATAGATGATATCAATAGTCACTTGATTTTGGAAAAATACTAATCTTACGTCTGTGAAGATCACTTTTTTTATACTACCAAAAATTTCCTGAAACTTAGCACACAGCTACCGTTGTGAGTTGCAAGTGACCATTTTTATTTTAGTAAAAAAGATTAGCCATACGACAAAATAGTGACATATTGTTGCATAGTACTATTTTGTAAGGCTTGTTTACAGAAAAACTCCTGTTGTACAACTTATAAGTCAGTGTTTCTAATAGAGATTATTCAGTTGAAAACATCCTTCGATATTCCTTGTAATTCGTTGAAAGTTGCAGTGATTTACTTAGTTCGCATCCCTCTTAACCTTGTCGCTTTACTACAAGAAATTTGGTCAGTCTAATTACACTACTCATAAGTAGTAAAAGTAGTACTTCAAGTACGTTAAACTATTTGAAGGTTTAAAGCAACTGGTCCCTTTGATAAATTTAAACAGCGTAATGAGAACACGAAGATTATCTGAAACATGTGATGTATTAGCGCTATACATTTCGAACAATCTAATCGGATGTCACGTACATGCATCTTCCGTATTGTCACATATTTTATAGGCACACTGGTTTACTTAGTACCAGAAAAGATTCAATCTATCGATCAGGTTCCTAGTTCATTTTCGTTTTCTGTTTTTCGTTTCAATAAAAAGCATAACCTTTCGATTTGGATAAGGTTTCCTCTCTAATTTGGTCTTTTTTCCAGTACCACTTGACTTTGTTAGCCTAAGAAACAGATAGGTTACTAGTATAGCTATTCATTATCAACTTTTCGAAGGCTACATTCAAATGGAGAAGAGCAGCTATATGTAGAACTGTGGTTATAAGAAGTTGTAGACCCAAAACTTCTAGAGCTTGATTCAGTAATCACTTCCTTTAGTTCATTTTTTTCAGCAAGTCTGCTCAACTGACTTATTTTGATTACAATCCTAACTTTCCTCTATCTGGAACTTCTATGGTTGACTGGTGATGGGTTTTTTCTTTGCAACCACTAATCAATAGGAATGAAAAGGTTAATAACCACCATTTGACAACTTAAGAGTTTCCACATTTTCATGAACTGAATTCGTTACTACAGTTATTCTTTTAAAAGCATGAAATTCTACGAAGAGGATTCTTTTCAACGAATTAACTCTGAAGCTGTACATTCTTGTATGTATATGACATTTAATGAATGGAATCTATAAGGGAGACTGAAAACACAAAATAATGATGGTTACAGTTATAATAATGTTGCTAGTTGATGATGTAGGTGTTAAATGATAACAAACTGACGTTACGCAAGATTTTTAGATTGTTCAGAGGGTGAATTTGGATTACAAAGGAGTGAAAACATTGTAGACGTAATCAATAAACAATGGATTAAGTGATGTGAATGAGACAGGTTGATTTAGATCTATTGAAAGCGGTTTTGTTAAAAGTTGCAGCTATTTGGAAGTCTGAATGAAGTAATACGGGAAATCATAAAACACAAAATTAATAATGATGCTGATGATAAAGGACAGTAGAGATAAATCTGACAACGGCGCAATGTCAAAAACCGAAGCGAAACAAACCAAGACAAAATGAAATCAGGGCTAAAGTAAAGACAAAGACTGTACTTACTTAGTTTGTACACAAAGATCAGACTTCAGTTCATGAATACCCGTGACGTTTATTGTTCTTAGAAGCCGAAAACACAGAAAATGTGAAGCATTTTAGCTAACCACTATTAATTGCGAATTTTAACAAAAAAAACGTAATCATTTTATTCCAGCCAACTTGTCTCATTCCTGTTACTTGGTAGCGCGCTGCTGAGGAGCCCTATACTAGAACGAAACGGTTTTCTAGTGCTTTCAGGTTTCCTTCAGTGGTTCTCCAACTGATGTTAATCCGTGATTAATGCCGATCTGAAATCTATCAAGAAATCCCCACAAACCTCCACAGTGGATTACATAATCTTTTGTTTGATGATCAACTGAATTGTTTTAATCTCTTTGCAATCTACATTAGATGTAGCTTGTATTTGTGTAAGTCAAAGCGTATTTAAAATAAAATAATCGCAACGTTTCGCAAGGAATTCCGGTCCAGGTTTCTTCATTGAAATAATCCAAATATCAATGATGCGCATAAGTAAATTCATAGACATGTAGTCAACTTCCTTGCTAATCCTCTTCTTATGGTTATTTTTTTCTAAAATGTGGTTATAAGCAACAACAAAAAACTATACCCATTACATAAGAAGTGACTATCATGACTCTGTGGTCTGACGCTTGAATCGACCAGTCCTGAGTTCGATTCTCAGTGGAAACAACATTGCTCACTGGGAGACAGGTACATCTAACTGATGAGTCCCAAATAAGACAAAGCGTGGGTCCTGGATCCCACTCCTAGCCACTGCCTATCATTACCATGACTACTAATCCTTCAGAGTGGAGTTTTGTCTCTTGTTGTGTGGTTTGCACTTGTGTGTGGTCATGTGTTTTGTTATCCATGATAATAATAATAATAATAAATAAATAAATACAAGACAAAAAGGACACAGGTGACATTGTAGTCATTCGGTGATTTTTATAAGTACAATAGGACATTTCAGGTAGATATGTATGTCAGTTCGGTTGGTATATATATGGACAAATAGTATTAACGAATTTCGCATTGGTTTATCGGAATATCGGGGAAATGAGTGGCAGTACTGATGGTGGTGACAATAATAATTACAAATCACATCGATCTAGATTGTGTTGTTGTTTATGCAGAAATCATTAGGTTCAGTCTGATGTTGAGGGTAAATACTGGAGTCACTCTTTCTTCTTACCAATTCAAACTATTCGGATTTGCCCACATATTAGGGGCTTTAGCTGTCAATCTTTCATGGTGTAATCCAAAACTTTTCTGTAGAACCTTGGTTCCATCAAAGTCAACTTTGTATAGAGTGTGGAGCGATTGCCAATTTGTTTTCTAGCTTCTTGACCTCTTCTGAGGTTTTTGGAACCCACTTTAAACATAGTCTATGCTCCCTCACTCTTACCTGCCTGGTTGTCTGCTTCACATTTACTTCATTACAATCTACGCATTTAATTTCATAAACGCAGTTCTGTTGATTTTCTTTAAGTACTGCTTCTTTAACTTTCATTCAGTTAAAGCGTAGACTGTTTGTTGCACGAAAATATTTGTTGAGAATCCTTCTTGTTTCTTCCAGGCTCTTCTCATGATTTGGGATTACCACCGTGTTTATCCAGTTCTTTATAGGGATTTTCAGTACACTCGTAGTTTCTTTTTAGAAAAAATTTTCTCTACGAAATATTTGGCAGTATTATTTACTTTCAGTGTGCAGCTAACCGACTCTAACTCTTCCCCTTTATCATCTTCCGTTGTAACAATATGGTTAGCTCTGCTGATCACATTTTGTGCAGCTGTTACTTTAGTGATCGACCTCTACGTCATGAAATAGCAACTTTATTATAACTGTGTTCATCATTATTGCGTATTCAATCTTCTATTATCTAAATTTAAATTCTTCCATAGATCACAGTCTTTAGTTATTAGTTTGTTTAACTACGTTAGCTAAAAGCCTGATAACTACTTCTCTATACTTTTTTTTATACTGATATTCTTGTTTTCTATTTTCTGTTTTTTATAATTAGTTGGAGACTGAATTAAAAGTTAGTCAAAGTGAATTAGAATCAGTGAAAGCAAAACAAGCCAGTGAACAAGCTGCTTTAAAAACAGCTTTAATGCGTGGTGTATGCGCGTTGAATATGGAAACGATGGCTGTCTTCAATGAAACTTTACCTAATTTGAATAGAGGGAATGAAGATAAGAAGCCAACTTTTAAGATGACAAATTTAAAAGAAGAACAGAATTCAACAGATGATCCTCTACTTTTACCCCAATTCACATCAAAGAAGTTAGATAATAATTTTCAACGGGATAAAACTATGTATAATCAATCATCAGAGAATATGATTTTGAACTTACAAACTGATCATACTGTACAATCCACTCATCAAAGTAGTGAGTATACACAAATTTTAGCCTTAATGCTACAGCATACACATGGATATTGTAAGTATTGAGTAGATTGCCAGTGTTTGCTGTTTCATGTGTTTGAGTGTGTTAGGAATGATATATAGTGTCTATCGGTTTGTTTGTGTGTATGTCTGTGTGTGTCTACGTTCACTTCTAGTTTTCCTGTTAGTTACGTTCTTCGTTTTTTTCGTGTGTTCTGCATTCAGTAAGTTGGATAGTTTTTCATAAATGGAATATTATTTCTGTTTGTTTTAATAGTACCATTTATTAAATATTTAATTTTCGTGAATAATCAAGTGTTGAAATGAGGAACAATATTTATAACTCGGGTGGATGGTCTTAATTGTGTTTCATCCTCTGAGCTAGATGGTTCAGTCGTGAAGCGTTGATTGACTTTCTAGACAACATTGTCAACCCAAACTTCAGTATGAAGTGATCTATCGATATCTTTTTGTGAGTAATTCAGTAGCCTGTCGTGACGAACTAGTCTGTGATTGGTAGTTTCCTTTGACTGTTGTGTCATTGACTTCACAGACTTTCCTGTTACCCATTTCTCTGTCTGACGTCTGACCTTGAGGTTGTTAATCCCTTTGCCCTTCGCCTTCGTTTTACATGAGCACTAACTGGCTATTGAATGTCACAGAAATTCGTGGCTTGCATCAATGGTTGTGGACAACTATGTATTATTATTATTATTATTATTTGTCCCTTGGGTTCCTAGTCGGACATAGGGCTTCAGTAGCACGTCTCCAGTGAACTCTGTTCGCTGCAATCTTCTGAACCTGGCTCCACGATAGCCTACAAGCTCTCATTTCCTCCTAACACGATCTCCTCCATGTCACCCTCAGACGCCCAACTCGTCGTTTCCCATCTGGGTTCCACTAAAGTACCGAACGCGTGATATCCTTGAATGCCAAGTAATTCACAATGGGAAGCTCAGTGACGCCTTCGAAGTGAAGACAGGAGTAAAACAAGGCCGTCCACTATCATCCATGATATTTCTGATTGTGGTCGACTGGATCATGCAACAAACTGTGAGGAGCGAGAAGAGGGGTATACGCTGGACTAGGGAAAAGATCCTAGAAGATTTGAATTTCGCCAGTGATGACTTGTGTCTAGTGTCACACAAACTTTAAGATCTACAGGCAAAACCTAACAAGTTGACAGAAGAGGCAGGGCAGGGCAGCGAGGGGAGACGGGACTTCAGGTGAATATAGAGAAGACAGAGGTGATGAAGATACCCAACCAACAATGACACAACAACAACAACAACAAACTTCAATCACCATGAACGGGAGAAACCCTGAGGGAAGTAACCTCCTTCACCTATCTAGGCAGCACTGTTTCAACTACAGGCAGTGGCACAGGCACAGACGAGGATGTTAAAGTCAGAATCGGAAACACAGCAAGACAGGTGTTGATTAGCCTGAAAGCAGTGTGGAGATCTTCTGCACTCAGCATAAAGCGTGAACAGGATCCGGATTTTTAACAGCAATCCAATCAAGTCAGTGCTTCTATATGGTTCAGAGACTTGGCACGTTACGAAAGGGATTTCCAACAAACTACAGACATTCATCAACAACTGCTTACGCTGGCTCGCTACTGAAGATCAGATTGCTAGAAAGAATGGGCAACAGGGAACTCTGGCTGTCAACGAACCAACCAAGAGTCTATCGCTGAACAAATATGCACTGGAAGGAAGTGGAGATGGATTGGGCTTGCACTGGAACATCTATGTACATAAATTTAATTTCGGAAATGTAAAGATTTTGGTCAGAAGAAACGCAAAGAATACCAAAGACACAATGATCAAAGGAAACTGGCAATAACACACTACTTCGTCAGGATAAGCTACTAAATCACATCTGAAGAAGTCCAGATAGCTGACTTCATACTGAAGTTGGTGCTGACGGTGTTGTCTAGAAAGCCAAACGAAGCTTCACAATTAAACCACCAACCTCAGAGAATAAAACACAAAAATAACCAAATATTTTGGCCCATTAATTTCTAAACGTGATGACATCATATATCACCTTAATATAAAATCATTTTACCAGAAGAATAATGTACTAATTATGTAGTCAAGGCCATCTGAAGTCCACCGGATGCTTGACACCTTGTTTCATAGTTTGACTACCAATTTCTCACTTTACAACAGAATTTTGGACTCAACAACCTCTTAATAGACTAATCACTATTTAGTAAATACATTCGAGTAAAACAGCCAGTTAGAAACACTGAACAGTCATCTTTTGAGGCGATTAACAAATACTTATTCTTACACTTCGGTTGGTTTCAGTCTAAGTCTAACAGTCAGCAGTGAACTTCAGGTGTGTTGATTCGTTAAAGTAAGCCAGTGAATGGTGTCGTGCAGTCATTCAATCGGTAATCTATGCACTTGTGAATTCAGTAATAAATATTATTACTATTATATCAATTTATGAAAAGTGTCTAGAGATGGAATAAAGGGGAAAGGAGTAAGTTTCAATTTTCGATAAATTCATCATTTCCATGTTCGTATATCTACTAAAACTCTACATTTGAATACAGCGAAAATGTTAAAACATATATCTTCAATTCAGTCTTAATTATATTGATCTTGACTGAATATAGACCCTCACCATGGTTCTATGTGGTATACCTTCCAGTGGAACAGTACATTTTCGGCATTCCATCTCAGATGACTTGTTAAATGTATCACATAGTGAAACAATATTACTTGTTGGATATGCATGATACATCCAATAAATCAACTGAAATATAAATAAATTCTGCAATAGTTTTAGATGATTGAAGACGGTCGACAGGAGGCTCTACCTGATCTAGATTTCGTGCTTTTTGGCACTCGTCAGTAAAGTACATTTGCAACCTCGAAGGAACTGATGTCCCTTGTGAGATCCGAATCCGCTTCACCCAGTGTTGTAGTCAGTGGCGTTACCACTGAGCTATTTGGGCCGCCCTTGATCTCCTGTAGCATTGAATTACATACATTTACTGATCAGTGAGGAGCAACTAATCTAATGTTGTCTGGTCCTGAGTAATAATCGAATTCTATCCATCATTTTACCTGTCCACCAAGCTAGGTGGCTCACCGTCACAGTTCACTTCGATGGATGTTAGATTGTTAGAGACAATCAGCGGGGATCCCTGGTTCACCTAGGTTTCGTGCTTACTGAAACTCGTCAGCATGGCGTATCTATGACATGAGACTGGTTGCTCTCCAGTGATCAGTCAGTGCATGTAATACAGTCCTACAGGAAGTCAGTCGTAGTCCAAATCGCTTAGTGGTTGTGTCGCAGGTGATGCGGGTTCGAATCTCGCATGGGAAATCGGTTCGCCAGAAATTGCAGGTGCGCCTTGCTAACGAGTATCAACAAGCACAAAACCTAGGTCAAGCAGAGCTTCCTACCGATTGCCTCTAACAATCTAGGATTCATCGGTGTACCGTGGTGAAAAGTCTCCTAGATTTGAGACCACACTGCAAAATGGTCGTTAGAATTCACTCAGCTCTCAGGATTAGAAAACATCAAATCGGTTGCTCTCCAGTGACCAATCAATATTCATTCTACGAAGGTGTCCAAGTTTTACGCCTTAATAAGTATTCTGCATCTTAAAGTTATCACCTTATCTTTGCAAGTATTGTATTAAACGCATAAAGAAACTGATTTATATTTGCGTGTTTGTTTCAATTATTATTAATCATTATTCACTATTTCAATTGCTTTTAACGCTTACTGCAAAGATACTGGATTTCATGAAGAGAGTAGATTGAATCCTGTTGAATCATGGCCAAGAGATAAGTTAAACAATTTTGAATCGTCTTATTGTAATGGAGGTAGAAAAGATAAATATGGTATACCGTTGAATCATTCAACTGAAATATGTGAACGTTGGTTAGGCCATCAAGTAAGTGATAATTTAGTTAGTCTTCCATGCTATGATCTATTGATGAGTTAAATATGCTCGTTCCAGCCATCAGTTTTGCTACACATAATGTGAAATCCATTTTTCATCAAAGTACTAACAGCTAAATATTATATCAATAAAGTTCTTATGTAGTCTAATCTCTGTAAACTACTTAGTTGGAGGTAATGGAGTAATGGATTAAGGTGCCTGGAAACTCTAGGAGACTCTTGAACTGGAATTAATTGTCGTGATACAGATGCATTTTCTCTTCCTCAGAATCTTCCTTATCGAAATAATCTACATCTGTAGGTTCCTTCTTCACTTATATCCTTTTCCCTGTTCATTTATTTAAAAAATCAAGTCTACTAAATGTCCACTATCATTCTCTTTTAGCTAAGCTATCTCTTCCCTAATTTCATCTTGATCGATTTCAGTGTGCACCCGGTTAGCGTCCACAATTCTTGTTCCCTTTATTAATGAACTTTCACGGTGCACGCGTGAGAAATTATGAACATTTTGAACTGGATGTAAGAGTTGAACTTGGACACTCTGGTAGGATATAATTTCATACTGGATTGATATAGCACACAGTATTATTAACTGAATGATGTTTTAAGCAGAATTTATTGCTCATATTTATATCAAGGTAATCATGTGATTTACAGTCCAACAATTCTTAATTTTTTATTTTGATGATGATAGAATTTTCTACACATCTGCAATATGTAGTGAGTTATTCCTGTTACATATGTATGGTGTTGATTCAATGAACAAAGATTCTATTACCAGTCTCTCCCTCCTTATACTAGATTTTAGGATTGCCACCCTATCTTAATCTGCAGTGTGATTCTAGGCCAGCGCATGCAGCGCGATAGCCGAGTTTCCCTCTAAATTACTTAGGTGGGTCGACAAATTTGTGTTTCGCTAAGTGTTTGTGCTATGCTATTCTGACTAACCCAGATCGGTTGCTTTGACCTATATGCTTGACCGCACAATCATTACATAGTATTTGGCAGATAATGTTATTTTTCCTAATTAAGTCTACTGAATTTTTTGACCTACAAAGTTTCTCTCTGAGCCAGTTTGTGGGTCTAAATACCACCTTAATTTTGACACTGTTAAAAACTCTACGTAAAATATCCTATGTGCCTTCTTTATATGGTAACATTACAGTGGGTTTGAATTCCATCTTGGGTATTCATGCCAGGTAACCCACCAGGTAACCTCACAACTTCGAGACAGACTTTATATATATATATGTATATATATATATATATATATATATATATATATATATATATATATATATATATATACCTAATTTTGCATCGATAGGATCTTTTCACATACAAAGCTTGTTTCTAAGCTAGTTTTTTGGATTAAATGCCACTTTAATCCCAACTTTATTGATAATTCTCCATAATCCTCTTGAGGTGCCATCTTTGTATGGTAACATAGCAAAGGCTTTGAGCCCTCTCTTCTAGCCCGATTACTTAGACATTTTATCTAGCCTACCTTGACAGATGTGATGTGAAATCTAAGCATCTACTCGAATATGTTAGTTTCCCATAAACACTGGTACTCAAGCTTCCATCTCTCCTCTTGATTTTGCAGTTTAACATATTGAATTCTTCTTCTTGATTTTCTGATTCATAAGTGAACTGGGTTGGATCTACTATCAAGCTAATACGTTCTGATTTCAACATGGTAAATGTGTCATGTATCCATCATCACGATGCTTTAAACTGGATGTACAAGTCAGCGTGGAAGAAAAACAAACTCCAAGTCACGAAGCACATCTATTTCTTTCTTTTTCGAAACGGGTTCAGCACTATCACCGTCGGATCTTCGAGTGAACACTCATTAAATCAAACCTTAAAGCTCTTTCAACTTGTGACTGTAGAATGTTTGCAGTAGACTTGTGTGTATATTACAAACGTCGTTAGTTATTATTATTTTTTAGTCCCTTAGGTTTCTAATGGAACATAGGGCTAAAGTAGCACGTCTCCAGTGAAATCTGTTCGCCGAAATCTTCTGAACCTGCCTCCACGACAGCCTACAAGCTCTCATTTCCTCCTAGCACGATCTCCTCCATGTCACCCTCGGACGTCCAACTCGTCGCTTCCCATGGAGATTCCACTTGAGGGCCTGACGCGTGATGTCCCCAGTCGGCCTTCTCAGTGTATGCCCAATCCATATCCACTTCCTCCTGCATATTTGTTGCGTGATAGGTTCTTGGTTGGTTCGTTGACAGCCAGAGTTCCCTGTTGCCCATTCTTTCTAGCAATCTGATCTTCAGTAGCGAGCCAGCGTAAGCAGTTGTTGATGAATGTCTGTAGTTTGTTGGAAATCCCTTTCGTAACACGCCAAGTCTCTGAACCATACAGAAGCACTGACTTGATGACATTGGTGTTGAAAATCCGGATCCTGTTCACGCTTTATGCTGAGTGCAGAAGATCTCCACACTGCTTTCAGGCTAATCAACACCTGTCTTGCTGTGTTTCCGATTCTGACTTTAACATCCTCGTCTGTGCCTGTGCCACTGCCTGTAGTTGAAACAGTGCGGTCTAGATAGGTGAAGGAGGTTACTTCCCTCAGGGTTTCTCCCCTTCATGGTGATTGGACCTTGTTGTTGATGCTGTTGTTGGTTGGGTATCTTCATCACCTCTGTCTTCTCTATATTCACCTGAAGTCCCGTCTCCCCTCGCTACCCTGCCCTGCCCCTTCTGTCAACTTGTTAGGTTTCGCCTGTAGATCTTAAAGTTTGTGTGACATCAGACACAAGTCATCACTGGCGAAATTCAAATCTTCTAGGATCTTTTCCCCAGTCCAGTGTATACTCCTCTTCTCGCTCCTCACAGTTTGTTACATGGTCCAGTCGACCACAATCAGAAATATCATGGATGATAGTGGACGGCCTTGTTTCACTCCTGTCTTCACTTCACCTCAGAGGCATCACTGAGCTTCCCATTGTGAATTACTTGGCATATGGCGTCTTCATATAGTTGTTGAATGAGGTTGATAAAGGTTTGCTGTATTCCATAGTATTGAAGCAGTTTCCAAATTACCTCTCGGTCGACGCTATCAAAGGCCTTCTCAAAGTCGATAAAGTTGAGGTAGAGAGCTGACTGCCATTCTATGCTCTGATCTATGATGATGCGTAGTGTAGCGTTGCAATTTCGTCCGCACATGATTAGTACTTCCTGAAGCCAACCTGCCTGTTCCGGTCATAGTTTTGAATCCAACGCATCCTTAAGCCTCTCCGGGATGATGCGGCTTAATATTTTGCTTGCTCTGGGTGGACAGGAGAGTGATTCCGTGCCAGTTCTTGCAAACACTGAGGTCTCCCTTCTTCGGCAGTTTGACAAGGTAACCCTTCTTCCAATCAATAGGCAGGTACCTTCTCTTCCTTCCACACCTTCTGCAATAGTGGTGTGAGCATGTCCGCTGTTGTCTCTGCGTCTGCTCTCGGTGCTTCTGGTGGGATTCCGTCTGGTCCTGCTACTTTCCCACATTTCAGTGGCTTTATGGCGTTCAGAACTCCCACTTTTGTTGGAGGATTTATGTTCACTTGTAGTTCTGTGGCTGGGCTGCAGGTGGTATTTGTGGACGAAGTGCAGGTGGTGGTCGATTCAAGAGCTTCTTGAAGTGGTCGGCCCATCGGTTCCTTTCTTTCTCTTCTTTCGTAATTGAATTTCCGTCATCACCTTTTATTGGTTTCGTCTGCGCTGGTCTCTTCCCAGATAGAGTAACCTGGTTATCTGATACAATGTTGTCAGGTCTCTGTCTCTCCTACCTGCAGCCTGTTCTGCTTCACTTCCCAGTGTTTCGTGGAAGTGCTTTTTGTCTTTGTGTGCACTCTTCTTCACTTCTTTGTCCCGTGAAGTGTTTTATACATTGTACTCAGTTCCTCTTGTCGTTGAGCATCCTTGCACTGCATTGGTTTATCTTCTACTTCACCATCCTCCTCTCCCTGCTCTATCAGCTTCCAGGTATCCATCGAGATCCATTCCTTATCTTCTTTCTTCTTCCTTCCTAATACCGCTGTGCAGGTTTCTTTCCACATCTCTTTCAAAGACTTCCAGTGTTCTTCCACACAGGTTTCTTCACGGATGTTCCTCGATATCTCCCATTTTGTCTTGATGGCTGGCTGCCGTGAAGATTTCCTTTGTAGTTTCATCCTTCAGTTTCCGGGTGTTGTACTTGAATTGAGGTCTATCACCAGCTTCCTTGAAGACTTTTCACTTGATTTGGAAGGTTCCTTGCACTAGATGGTGAGTGGTGTGAACCTACATCTGCTCCTCTTCTTGACCCTGTGTCAAGTAGACTGCGTCTCCATTTTCTTGAGATTTAGATAAAGTCGATCTGATTTTTAGTGTAGTGTGTCCTGGTGTCTGGTGAAATCCATGTAGCTTGCTTTGTGGATATCCTTGTGCTTGAACACACTGCCTTGCCTCCAATCACCAAATTGTTTAATGCACAGAATTCAGCAAACAATTCTCCATTCTTGTTCATCACCTCACCGAGTGCTTCTCGGCCCATGGTTAGTTCTCTTCCTGTGTTGTCCGCTTCCAGTTTGGCATTCATGTCGCCTATTAGAATGGATTTTAATGCCGCCAACTGAGGTCTTGTCTAGTGTTGATTCCAGTTGTCTGTAGAATTCCTCCTCTTTCTCCTTCTCTTGCTCTGCATTATTTGTAGTTGCCTAGAGTAGCATTGTATGATTGTTACTTTCCTTCCTTCCTTCCTTTTGAGTTGAACCTTGCTGTCATGATCCTGATGGTGGATGAGGTTGGTTCCCACTGTATGAGAGCCTTCGATGGGCTTGGGGACATTATGATAGCCACTCCATAACTCAGTGTGCTCATGGTTGTCGTGTGGGTGACAATATCGGAGTAGATTATTGATTCTCCAGTTGAAGTTTTGAGAGTCCACTCCCATTCCATCTGCTTTCACAAATTCCAAGCACTTCAGTGTGTTACCTCTTCATCTCGTTTGCAATCTGTGAAGCCTTGCCAGCTAGGTTCAAACATGGTGCAGACATTCAATGT